TGGAGGAACTTGATTGGCCTGCGCAGAGTCCTGATCTCAACCTGATAGACACCTTTGGGATGAATTAGAGCGGAGACTACAAGCCAGGCCTTTTGTCTGATGTCAGTGCCTGACCTCACAATTGCGCTTCTGGAAGATTGGTCAAACATTCCCATAGATGCACTCCTAAACCTTGTGGATAGCCTTCCCCAGGGATCGACTGACCATTTGGAAACTTGGGCGCTGCCCGAGGTCCCGGGGTCAGTAGGGGGCCCCATGAGATGCCCCTGGTACCTTTTCCATAGTCTTTTGTAAGTTTGGGCAAGGACGCAGGGGCCCCATGATCCCTTATTGCCCGGGGGCCCCATGAATTGTCAGTCCGATCCTGGCCTTCCCAGAAGAGTTGAAGCTGTTATAGCTGCAAAGGGTGGGTCAACTCAATATTAATCCCTACGGACTAAGACTGGGATGCCATTAACGTTCATGTGCTTGTAAAGGCAGGCAATACTTTTGGCAATATAGTGTATGTAACATCTGCTTTATAGTGCTTTGCATCAGCTATGGTAGAGTAAAAAGGCACTATTTAGTTACATACCAGTTAACCTGTCATGTTTTTGAATTGTGGACGTGTTTTAACCACTTACCCTCTAGCAGATTTTCCCCCTTTCCTGACCAGGCTATTTTTCATGGTACGGTGCTGCGGTACTGTAACTGACAATTGGGCAGTCATGCAACTCTGTACATACATTTTTTGTAATTTTTTTTCCCCAAAAATAGAGCTTTCTTTTGGTGGTATTTGATTACCTCTAGTTTTTTTTACTTTTTGCGTTATAAACAAGAAATAACTGACAATTTTGAAAAAAAAAATATTTTTTTAATTTATACTAAAAAAAACATACCCAATAAAGAAATGTAAAAATAAAATGTCTTCATAAATTTAGGCCAAAATGTATTCTGCTACATATTTGTAGTAAAAAAAAAAGTGTATATTGATTAGTTTGTGCAAATGTTATAGTGTCTACAAACTATGGAACATATATGGATTTTTTTTTGTTTATTTTTTATACTAGTAATGGCAGTGATCAGTGACTTATAGTGGGACTGCCATATTGCGGCAGACATTTTTACACTAATTGACACTGACACTTTGTGGGAGCCAATTACACTAATACAGTGATCAGTGCTAAATATATGCACTGATCACTGTACTAATGACACTATTTGGGAACATCTGGGGTGATCAAAGGGTCAACTGTGTGCCTAGCTGTATGCTTGGTGTACACTAGGTGGAGTTGTTACTTGGGGAAGTGAAAGATCCTGTTCCCAGCTTTGCAGGGACACATGGTCTTACACTTCCCTCCCTGTTAGAATAGAGCTCTGCCTTGTTTAGTTAGGCAGAGCTCTCTTCTTTGTCCTTCTTCTTTGTCCTGCATGACGATCAGTGGGTGCTGGCGAACATCTGTCCACCAGGACTCACAGATTGGCTTCCACTGTGAGTGTTCAAAGCAGAAGAGAGAGCGCCCCCCCTATGGCAGAAGTGCAAAAGTGCTATAGGGCGGTATTCAAGTGCTTAAATACATCTCTTTGTTAAATTATCTTTAGTATTTTTGAAATAGTTACATATGATATTCTATTCAAACTAACAGTACTTAATCTGTATTACTGACTTATAAAACATTTGCAGCGAGGTGCTCTGGGTGTTCTTATAGTGGGGTACCTGCAGTTTGCTGTTCTTGATTATCAAAAACTTGAGTGCCGTGGAATATTCTCATCCATTCCCACAATGCAGTGCAGTGCTCTTACAAGTCAACGTTTGCATACTGCAGGCACAAGGACTCTCTTTGTACTAATCAGAAGGTTTGGCAGCCATAAATAAAAGCTTACATTGTGCATAAAGTAAATTTATGTTTTGATTGTAAAATTCTCTTTTCTTATTTAATTGAACTTGATCTATGAAATTAGGATGCACAAACTTGCTAGTGCTCCAATGCCTCATGCAAATGGTCAAAAAGGCAGCTTTTAGAGGTTTTTTTTTTAAGCCCCTGAAGACAGGGGCTCTATTTTCATTAATGTGTACATGCACATTGTGATTTTTAGATATGTATTTTAGAGTAGCATTCAAAGGCATAAAAAATGTCCCAAACCTGCATTCATTGAGAAGCTTGCTATCCAAATGTAGGCACATGCACAGGTAAACACATACAAACATGTGTAAACACGTGAAAATGCATGCAAATTCTAGTGGCCTACAAGATATGAATATTCTGGCTTTCGTGCATGTGCTTGTAAATGCCATATTTTTCTTAAAAAAAAAATTACACATCAAAACAAGCATTTTTTTTTATGCTGAATTTTTGTCAAGCTCCTGACAGAAGGATGCATTATAGAAAAGAGTATTTAAATACACCTGTGCACATGAAGTCTAAATCAAATTATGAGAAAAATACCCAATTCTTGATTACTTTCAGGAAAACCCATCTCATTCAGGAATGCAAACGTTCTGCAAATTTCCAATTAATTTGCATATACGGCAAACAAAGATGCTATACACTCATGGGAAATCCAAGTATTTTAATAAGGAAACAGAATAAAGTGGTAAGCCTTAGAACATAAAGGTCAGCCAATATCAAAGTAATTGTTTCAATGTAAAATTCTACAGGGATACAAGTTGTTTTTTTTTATATATATAATGACTTGCAGTCCCTAAACATAAAACAGCATCAATATTTGTACTTGAAACTATGCAGCTTTCTGTTCTAGCAATCGAGATTTAAACTAAATGAACAGATACCAGCTGATTTTTTTAGAGCAACAAATTAATTTAAAAAATAAAATAGACTTTGACATTGTACAGTATTCCACCACTGTGAGCTTGGGACATATTTCATTTGAAATAATTTTTAAAGCCCTTTTTATTTAAACCAGTTTTATCAACATATGATAGTTATTTTACTTTTCTTTAAATATCTTGTGTTTCTCTTTTCTGTTGGCTTTTATCTTTTATTTTGACCATGGAATTAGGAAAAAATGATCTGTGGGATGGCTATAACATGACATAGAGTACAAATCTTCTTACTTTGTTCTCTTTCCCACAATTCTAAAAATATCAGTGCAAAATTAGATTTAATATTTTTTAAACCAATTTAAATATCTAGTGCAATAAGATTTGCAGAGGGGAAGATTTTCCCTGAACATAGTTTGTCTGGTTCTATTAGTAATCAGGAAATAAAGTTTAAATTACTCTCTAGGTGTCAAATCTTTTAGCTCAGGCCTCTCCTTCTTTGGAGTGGAGACCGCCAGCACAAAAGAGATGAGTATGGAAACAATGGGCCACAGCCTAGCTTTGACGTCAGACATCAGTCCCCTCGCTCCCCCCCTGGAGGCCCCCTCTGATAAATATTTTGCTTTATTTTATACTTTAATTTTTGCATAATCTTTAGGACAGTCACATGATCCACAGGGTTCTTTTCTTCCTGTGATCTTCTTCAGCAGTGATTGGCCCTGGATGCCGCAGAGAACAGTTCTGAGGTGTTAATATGAATAAGGGATGAGCCTGATCAGTTGAACCAAATAGCCAGATTTGGCCACTTCACCAACCTGACCAAACCTCTAGCTTCTGTAGCCGGAAATCTTTCATTTAGTGGAGGAGTTATTACTACCTTCCTTCAGAGGAGAGTGGCCAGCAACTTCTATTTATAAGTTATTTCTTAATTCATTCATTGATAATGAACTTGGTGCCAAGGCTGAATTTCTGCATAGCCTATATAGTCATGACTTAAGAAGACAGGACTGCAAAGAGTGGCTCACAGCCACTCACATAATATATTATTGTCAGCAGTATGAAGACAGCGTTGTCCAACATACAGGCTGAAGATGATAAACTGCTCCCCCACTGCTAATGCTTGATGCAGATAGGTGTACCACCCTGCGTGCTCTGGCATGCGGTTCCCCATCCCCCCACCCCCCAATACTTTGAGTGTTCATATTTAGGATCGAGGGTGCACTGGGCATGCATGGCTATTCACTTGGTGTTTAGCAACTGGGGGTGGGCATGCAGTTGAACATGACTGGTGGGGGCAGAAAGCAGGCATGTTGGAGGGTGGAGTGACAGACGTAACTGTCAGAGCAGAAAGAAAGTGGTGGCCCAGGAGAAGGGAAGTTGTGGCCTACTGGTTGCCCACCAACAATCTGTAACATGTTCACTAATCTGTAGTATGCTTGTGGTGCCCTCGCCCCCTCCTCACATGATGGTACTGAAACCAAGGTGGCTGCCCTCGTGCACCCCCCCCCCCCCCCCATGTCACAGGCCTGGATATCCATAATACGTTCCCATGTATAGTAAAAGGAACCACATTTCTGCACCACTTCCAAGCGTAATCCAGCTGGGTCTGCACTGTTGCTTCCCTGAACAGTCTGTCCATTACTGCCAGTAGAATTCTGAGTCCATAAACCTATAACTGAACTGCTAGCAGAGAGTTCTAGGTGTACTGGTGCATTATGGACAAACCGTCTCCTTCACCTTTTTACCTTGAGCCTCAGCAACAAGATGGTTGTCCTGATGATAAATCCAGTCCTGCTTAGTGCATTAGAGAATATAGTAGTGTGAAAAAACTGTTATTTTCCTAGAGAACCATTGTGTTTCATTGCTGTACTGCATTGCAAGCTTTTATAGCAAATAGTTGTGCAAGCATGACCATGTAATGGCAGATAAATGGGGCCTGAATAAGAACGGGATTTCCTTTTCTCTGGAAATATCCATTTAGCCCTGATTTGTCAAGTTGCACTATCACCTAAGAAGTGCGAAATGGAGCTTAAGGCATGCTAAAATACCCTGGTATAACACTGGTTTTGATCACTTTAGCATGGTTTAAGAGCACTTTAAGGTAAGTGGTATTGCTGCAGCTTGATAATCCAGACTCTTGACTGACTTTCTATTGTGCTAATTGAGATTTCTAAATATATGTTTTCTAAACTTCTGTTTTCCTCCCTAAATAGGGATCATATGGGCTGAAATCAAGCAGATGTGGGATGGAGGACTTCAAGATTACATCCATGACTGGTGGAACTTAATGGATTTTGTGATGAATTCATTATACCTAGCAACTATTTCACTGAAAATTGTTGCATATTTACGGGTACAGTAAAAATAAATTGTTGGATATTGACATTGACAATACAAATACGAATCTAAGGAGTTGATAATCTTAAAAAGCCAAATTATCTTACATTAAAAAAATCATAAAAATTGTAAAATGCATTTTATTGTATGAATAAAAACAAATGTTTTATAGCATTAGGCACTTAGGACCGGGTAGTGCTTGAGCAGGGCTTGTGAAGTCCTTATTGCACTTAGAGGCTCTTCTCTCCTTTTCTAAAACACAAAACTAGCATAGTGCCTGATGATATCCTAAAGGTGAATTGGTTTCAAACAAAAGACATCTGTACCCATAAACACATTATGATAAATATGGCATAAAGCAGTGTTTCTCAAACTCATCCCAAAGTCACACCGAAAGTTTGTTTTGTGTCTTGCCATAACGGCAGATGCGCTTCATTACTGAGACACTAATTAATGAAACATTTATACGCACAAGCCTGAAAAGACTTGAGACACATTTATCAAACGATGTTATAATGGACCAGTGGCTCATTTAGAGGTTAGGGTAGAATAGTATAAAGCAGTATTAAGGCCAGTGGTCAGGCGGTTAGTTTACCCTTTTGCAGGGTTTGGTTTTAAGGGGTAGGCTAAATATTAGGGCTGGATTGAATATATTGGGACCAGGTTAACTGTTAAAGGTTATGTGTTTATGGTTGGGTTAGTGGTACACTTAATTTAGTCTATCTCCATTATACATCTCTGTAAGTGTATCCACTCAAAAACACAAAGTAAGTGTCGGAGTAGGTAAGGGGAAGATGGGCTATATAGTACCTGTAGGGAGAGTGAAAAACATATTTGAGCATGGGTTCATTTTATGAATTACATATTATTATACAGGATTTATATAGCGCCAACATTTGTAAAATACACATTCATTTGTAAAAATACCCATAAGTAATCTTTTTCTCTTTTTTTTCTGTTGTTGGCAGTACAATGCAGAATTAAGGATTCGAAATGACTGGGACATGTGGCATCCAACACTGGTTGCTGAAGCATTATTTGCTATCGCTAACATCTTTAGCTCTTTGCGTCTGATTTCATTGTTCACAGCTAACTCTCACCTGGGTCCCCTTCAGATTTCTTTAGGAAGGATGCTTCTCGATATTTTAAAGTTCCTTTTTATATACTGTCTTGTGCTACTTGCATTTGCCAATGGTTTGAATCAATTGTACTTCAAGTACGAAACCAACACCTTTGATAACAAAACCTTGAACTGCACTGGCATCCGTTGTGAAAAACAAAATAATGCCTTCTCAACGTAAGTTAATGTTGATTTAATTTTTTACAATAGATGGTAAGCCTATTCACGCATATTTCTTACCATTTAGATGTTTCTCAAGAGGATGTGTCATGACTGACTGAAAGCATTTCTGAACAATGTCAGAATCAGTCTTTTGCAATAGAAAGTCCTAGGGCAAGCTGAGTAGCCTGTCAGTAACATACAGTGCAAGAAGCAAATCTTCTAAATCTTTAACCCTGTGTTAAGACAATGTTCAAATCTAGTTTACAACTGATAATGAGATTTGCCAGCACAGCACAGGCAAGTTTATTTATGGCAAAACCAGTTCACCAGCCCCCTCATATGCAAAGTAAGTTAAAAAAAAATACGTTTGTATCAAAAAAGAACATTTAAAATGGTATGCAACATTTTTTAAATATGTTTTTAAGTTATGCTAAGTGAATGAAAATATGTAACAAATATAAAGTAGGCGTTATCCCAAATTGACTGCAGAAATGGAAGTACAATTTCAATTATATGAAATATCACATGAGTTGCTTTAGTAATAGGACCCTGTGATGCGCAATTTGTGCAAACACTTCAGAATGTTTGAAAAATCTAACTCCCAGCCCACTTGTCATATTTACCTTTGCTCATTTTGCCTTAAAGTATATTGTAACAGAACCAACCCCAGTCTGCGCTTGGGTACTTCCGTTAAAATACCGCTTCCCTGTCCGAACACCGACCACAGACACCACAGCCCACCAAACAAGACTAGACAACACCAGTCTTGAAGTAAATCAGGAAATAGACTAGTTTATTTTAAACATAGATACAAGATATACATTTAAAGGGACAATACCCCCTCCCTGCATAATGACACAGGGCGGGGCAATCTACATTTAGTAACAAGAGACACACCAACAGACAGTCCCATCATGAGGGCTGCTGGAGACACCCCCCACCAAGCCAATACCCATAAACACATATATACCCCATAATAGTTTGCTCCCAAGCAAGACACACAATAGAACAATGGGATGCAACCACATGGCATTAAACAATCAACAACCCTCCACCCCAATATTAGGACAGATCACCCTGTACCCCTAACAGGCACAGGGTGACTTACACATAAGAGGGATATGGGGAGCTGAGACAGGGGTCTCCCCACCTCTCCAAAGTGAGCTGTGTTCCATGGGCCCCCCACCCAAAGTGACTCCCAAAGTGACATACATCTAAAGTCTTTTTTAAAATTTTGAATAGAGTTGGGTAGGGTAAGTACTTCTGTCAGGTTTTTATGGTTGAAGATATCACCCCTCTCCATTTGCCTTTATGGCTATGCAGCTGTTTCTTTATATTGTTGTATAGGCAGTCTGTGATGTGTTTGTTTGGAAAGGCAAACTCTAGGCAAATATAACTAGCAACATTTATGTATGTTTAAGTTTTGACTTTAGATATACTTAAATCTTACACAAAATACAGTATATTGTGAATTTTGCAAAGTGCAGACAGGTCTGTGACCCAGAAACCCAATAACATTTTTAGCAAGGCAGGAAAGTTCCCTTAGTTTAGTATTTAATACCATTATAAAGGATCTTCTTGCTAAAGTGTGATATTTGCACTGTCAAAAAGCATACAATGTGAATAGATAAGTAAGATTACATGAATCTGTGTACTTGTAATAACACATTGGAGTACTGTATGTTTGAGGTGCTTTTTTATTTGAACTACCAGTTAATTTTTCAGAAAAAGCTTTTAAAAGATCCACTCTAATAAAAGTATAAGTATAGAACACGGCTATAGAAAAAAAAAAACAATTATACTTGCATATACTGTAAGTATACGTATACTGTAATTATAATGTACTGTGTGTATATATATTTGATAAAGACCATGCTGCTTTTTTTTGCTTTGGCCAAAAACAAGCAGCCTGCTGTACCATGGTTGTGTTTATTTTATTCTGTAATTTTTTTTTTTTAATTTCCACAAAGATTGTTGGATTCTATTACTACATATAGAAATTTATACAAAAGATACACACACTTTACCACTTTTTATTCTGTTTTCCTGTAGGTTATTTGAGACTCTCCAATCCTTGTTCTGGTCAATTTTTGGTCTCATCAATCTCTATGTAACAAAAGTGCAACCTGATCACAAGTTCACAGAATTTGTCGGTGCAACCATGTTTGGGACCTATAATGTTATCTCTTTGGTTGTTCTTCTAAACATGTTAATAGCCATGATGAACAACTCCTACCAGCTCATTGCTGTAAGCAAAACTTTTTTACCTTTATATTACAAAGACCTAATAACATATTTCTTCTATAACAACCACACAATATAAAATCAAGTCAGAAGAAATTAAGTAACCAATGGAATGGTTTGTTGTGTTTTTTTATCACTGAAATATGTGAATTCAAAGGGACAGATTGGAGAATAAAATAAAGAAAAAAAATTGGAAATGTCAGTTTGAGGTCCTTGATGCCATTCCTTTTTGTTGCCAATGACTGTACAGTTGTGCTCAAAAGTTTGCAGTACGCACACCCTGGCAGAAATCATGAATTGTTGGAGTATTTATAACCTATATACAACAGGTCTTAACCTGTTGGCACTGACAGTACGCAAATATGCAGCCTCTAAGTGGCTGGGGCTTGACACTCAGCATCCACATTTACTGGAGCCTCCTGGAAAGGTCCCGATCACACTCACTTGTGATCGGGACCTTTCGGGTTAATGATTATTTCTGGTGATCGATCGGGTGACCATTGTGACAGCCAATCACGGCGATGACAGGACCTAAACCCTGCCCCACCTCCTGGCATCACAAACCCCTTAAAAGGACAGGGAGGTGTCGCACCAAGGGATTAAGGATAATGATCATTAAGGATGATAGCCATTTATTATCACATAGTTGTTTGGCTCTTTTTTAAATCATAATGATAACAGAAATCACCCAAATGGTCTGATCCAAAGTTTACATACCCTGGAATGTGTGGCCTTGGTACAGGCACACAAGGTGACACACACACATACACACAGGTTAAAATGACAATTCATTTCCCACATCTGTGGCTTTTTAAATTGCAATTAGCATCTGTGTATAAATAGTCAAAGTATAAAGTCATAGTAGTCATAGTATAAAAAGAGTTTATTAGCTCTGCAAAGGCTAGATACTGAGCCCTGGGGAGCAGAAAAGAACTATTAAAAGACCTGTGTAACAAGATAATGGAACTTTATAAAGATGGAAAAGAATTTAAAAAGATATCTAAAGCCTTGAATATGCCAGTCTGTACAGTTCAGTCACTGATTAGGAAATTCAGGGATCTCTTGATACCAAGCCAAGGTCAGGTAGACCAAGAAAGATTGCAGCCTCAACTGCCAGAATAATTATTGGGGATACAAAGAAAAACCCACAGGTAACCTTAGGAGAAATACAGACTGCTGTGGAAAAAGATGGTGTGGTTGTTTCAAGGAGCACAATAGGACAATACATGAATAAAAATGAGCTGCATAGTCGAATTGCCAGAAAGAAGCCTTTACTGCACCAATGCCACAAAAAAGCTCAGTTAGACATGACAAAATGTTGTAACCAGGCTTTTTTTGTGGTATTGGCACAGATCATTTTTTGTCCAAGTAAGTGATTTAACAGTACTGACTGGCATATCTAAGGCTTTATATATCTTTTTATATTTTTTTTTCCATCTTTATAAAGTTCCATTACTTTGTTATGCAGGTCTTTTGCCAGTTCTTTTCTGCTCCCCATGGCTTAGTATCTAGCCTGCTCAGTGTATCCACGTGAGAGCTAACAAACTTCTTGACTTTTAATGCACAGATATTGATTGCAATATAAAAAGCCACAGATGTGGTAAATTAACCTTTTATTTGCCATTTCATTCTGTGTGTGTCACCTTGTGTGTCTGTACCAAGGCCAAACATTCCAAGGTATGCAAACTTAGGATCGGGGACATTTGGGTGATTTCTGTCATGATTATGATTTAAAAAAAGAGCCAAACAACTGTGACATAATAAATGGCTTCATATGATCATCATCCTTCAATAAAATATTTTTTTTTGGCATGATCAGTCATATTATTAATATAAATTACAAAATTTCATGATTTCTGCCAGGGTATGCAAACGTTTAAGCATAAAATAAAATGAACAATATCTGTGCTGACCGGTAATACAAAGCAGCTGACATAAATAGGTAGTATAAAAACCTATATAACAACTGAAAATGTGAAGTGCAGTGCTAAACATATAATAAAATGATTAGAACATATCAAAATATCCAAAAAATGTCCGTGAGAACGAATGGTGTAAACAAAAATAAATTAAATTAAAAATGTGTTGAAATAATGTCCATCCACCACCATAAAAGTGGTCTTGCTTGTAGTAAAACAACTGTACTCTATATATGCCGTCACCATCTCTCAGTGAATTGAAAACTCACCAGAAATGATGGCTGCCACTACAACAGCATAAACGCCCATATATTTTAGCAGGAACACATGAGTTTTGACGTGCAACTCTGTGAATGCGTGTCATTCTGTCTGGCTGGGCTGCGGTGAAATAAAGCTTGCTAGGAGCAAAATATACTTCAAATAGTTTTATTAGATAATGAGTGAATATAAATGTATACACCATTCATTCTCATGGACATTTTTTTTGTTATTTTGATATGTTCTAATCATTTTATTATACAGTATGTTTAGAGCTTCACTTCACATTTTCAAACTTTCAAGCATAACTGTATCTGTTATATTTATCTGTTGAGAAATTAGTAGGAGTTCTTAGGAGTTTTCTATGTCATAGCCAAATTGGATCCTTGATAGAGGTATCTGTCTCCATGCAGCAACCTGTGGGAACTGTACTAGCTGATCACTTTTCTGTTGTATGTATTGCCCTGGAGAGCTAGAATGTATTATATTATATTATATTATAATATATATATATTATTATTACAGCTTACTTTAAAGTGCACCTGCTCCCAGACCATGGACAATAAAATTTTTGCATATTCAGGCAGTAAAAGAGGTTTAAAACAAGCCATCCTGACCTCTCTAGCTGCATTTATTATGAAGTTATTCATTCTCAAAAATCTTAAAAGTATCAAAAAGGAGGACTGTCAAAATCTGCTCTCACAAACAAGTTAAGATTTCGATCCCTGTGTTGTGAACTTTAAACATTAAATTTCTTCACAATCTTTATATATACAGAGATGAATGAGGGCTTGTTTTAAAGTGCTTTTACAAATATGTTAATACTTTAGTGTGCATATTCAGGACACAAGTTCAATTTAAATAGTGTTTTATCTAGGAAATGTCCCAATTGTGCTTAAGCTTACTCATTGTAGAATGAATATCAAAGCAGCCTCTCATCACGATTCCACTTGGTTTAAAACCCCTCCTTCTGTTTCTCCAGTGTGTGTATCACAGAATACTACTCAAAACAAGAATAAAACAGTTCCTAGGAATGAAAAACGTGCATGCTCACATTCTGCGCCTTTTATTATTATTATAATACAGAATTTATATAGCGCCAACAGTTTACTCATCATTTTACAACATAAGGGCAGACAGTACAATTACAATACAAATGAATACAGGAAGATTCAGAGAACCCTGCTCGTTAGAGCTTACAATCTAAGAGGGAGGGTCAAGAGATACAAAAGATAATAACTGTGGGGGATGGGCTGATGGACAAAATACATGTACAGTTGTTAGGTGGGGGCAGGATAGGCCTCTCTGAAGAGATGAGTTTTCAGGGATCGTCTAAAAGTGGACAGAGATGGACATAGTCGGACACATTGAGGAAGTGAGTTCCAGAGGATGAAAGTGTCTCTGGTGAAATCCTGGAGGTGAGCATGGCAGGTAGTGACAAAGGAGCTAGAGAGCAGTAGATCTTGGGAGGAATGAAGAGAAAGATTTGGTTGGTATTTTGAGACCAGGTTAGTGATGTAACAAGAGGCTGAGTTGTGGATGGCTTTATAAGTTGTTGTAAGTATCTTGAATTTTATTTGTTGGGTGAGTGGCAGCCAGTGGAGGGACTGGCAAAGAGGGGTGGCCAACACTGAATAATTGGTAAGGTGGATGATTCTGGCAGCAGTATTTATGGTGGACTGGAGGGGGGATAGCCTATGTAAAGGTAAGCCAGTGAGGAGAGAGTTGCAGTAGTCAAGGTGGGAGGACCAAGGAATGAGTTAGAAGCTTTGTGGTGTCTTTGGTTAGGAATGGGTGTATCTTGGAGATGTTGCGGAGGGTTGAGTCAGTAAGCTTTGGACAGGAGGTTTAACATTTACCAGGTTGGGTGTGTTCTAATCAGTCAATTCATGTTTCACTTGGAAGTGTGTATAAGTGGTTAAGAAAATACATTTTGCATTATAACATTCATTATTTTGTTTGCTTCTAGGATCATGCAGACATTGAATGGAAGTTTGCTAGAACAAAGTTGTGGATGAGTTACTTTGAAGAAGGAGGAACACTGCCCACTCCATTCAATATCATACCTAGCCCCAAATCATTGTGGTATTTTTTTAAATGGATTCGGAAACAAGTATGCAAGCAATACACAAGAAAAAAGCCTGAAAGCTTTGGAACAATAGGTGTACGTATCTTGTTAAAATATATATAAAAAATCATATACAACACCGAAATGCAAATTGATAATATACATTCAGCATTGGAAATCTACAGTTCTATTTATTTGGATAACAAAAGTGGCTTACATTAAAGTGTTACTAAACCCAGGACCCTGTATTCACTATATCTGGACTCCCTCAGTACACCAGAAATGGAAAGTGTAATTTTTTTTTAGTATATATAAACTGCTAAATACCTTTTCTCACCAGCAGTATATTGCAGCCTTGTGACTTCTATCAGTGTCCAGCAGAGCACATGTTAAAGCTTGTAGGAAGAGTTTTCATTCTGCTGTAGGAGGATGCAGGACCTTTGACCTATGTCTGGACAGTGCTGATCGGCCCTGTGCTGATCACATGCACTCTCCCAAAAAAAAAAAAACCTCTCTAGCAATACACACCAAACTGAGCATGTGCAGAGTGACTCCACATGATATGACTTATCAGGAGATAAGAGGGGGACACTGGAAAAAGGAGGGGATCAGGGAAGTTAGGATCAATCAGCATGTTTACACAATGCAGAGGATTAACCCCTTGGGTTCTACAATGAGTATAACAAGCATGCTTTGCTGCATATAAAGACTGATTTTACTTTTGTGGGTTTAGTAACATTTTAATATCTTTTAGAACCTAAGTACTGTAACACGTGGTGAAATTTAAAGATGCCTGCAGATTTGAGTGTGTGAGCCAATGCGTAAGCATGATCAGATTGGTTGTAAACTAATCTACTATTGTCATTCTAGAGCCTGTAAGTGTTTTATAGTTCCTAAAAAATTACATTCAGCTTTCAGGCAATGAGGAGCAGCCCGACCTCCCATCTATATTCTTTTTTAAAATAATGTAATAAAATCTTAAATAGAAGTTTCAAAAACGTTTCAACTTTCAGGACTGTTACCAGCAATTGTAGGGTATATGCTAAAGTAAAAACATGTTAATATGCTGTCTTTAATTCTCCCAAAACCAGGTTTCGCATATCGCTTTAATTTCTCACATACATTCCATTACAAAACACATTTTCTTTTCTCTGTGTTCTACCAAATTTTCCCATGTAAACATTTTTGGTATTGTTTTAGAAAGGAAGTTGAATGATTTGGTAATAAGCATCTGTAGTGCACCTGTACTATTACTTTTAGATCTGGTACAGGTGTCAATGATGAATTAATGACACCCCGAAACAGATCGCAAAATGCAAATCCATGTGCGGTACGATACCGCACAGCAAAAAAAAATTTTAATTCACTAAAAAACTACTTAAATACCGCATGAGTTATTTTATCAAGTCATGCAGTATTTTAGTAGTGAAAAACATGCATTATTGTTTCAGCTGTCAGCGGGGTTTCCCACTGGCAGCTGAATGGAAAAGCAAAGAATTGCCAGCAATTAAAAAAAAATTATTAAAAAAATGTGTGTGGTCCCCCCCTATCTATACGAAGCCCTTCTGGTGTGGTATGGATTTTGAGGGGAACCCCCATGCCAAAATTAAAAATGAATGGCATGGGGTCCCCACCAAATCCATACCAGATCCTTATCTGAGCATGCAGTCCGGCAGGTCAGGAAAAGTGGGGGGCAAGAGAGTGCCCCCCCTTGAACCTTTCCAGGCCACATGCCGTCAACATGGAGGGGTGTTTTGGTGCGGGTGGCTCCCCCCCCCAAAGCACCTTATCCCCATGTTGATGGGGAAAAAGGTCTCTTCCCCACAACCCTGGCCAGTGGTTGTGGAGGTCTGTAGGTGGGGGGCTTATCGAAATATGGAAGCCCCCTTTAGCAAGGGGGCCCCCAGATCCCACCCCCCCATGTGAATGAGTATGCAGTAAGGAAAATAAATGAATGTCTCCCGAAGTAGATCCAACATCAGTCACGATGCCTGCTGCCGCTGCTACCCAAATACAGAAAAAAAAGGCTCCGGTCTCGATGCTGGCTTCTGCCGTCTGCCTGCTCCGCTGGCTTCACAGTTCTTAAATATGTAAGGAGCGTTGCCACCCGGTGACTTGACGTGTGTGACCCTGCCCCTTGTGACATCATCAACCGGAGCATGCTGCGTCAATGATGTCAGAAAGTATCAATTGAAAATCAGCTAGTGTGCTATCTTCATGTGGTGAATATTTGGATTTGTATGTAACCAAAAATGTGATACAGTTATGCATGCTAAATCATTCCAATAATTTTGTTGATATTGAAAATGTTTTGATGGAATAGTAGTGACTACCTCTGTCCTTACAAGGATAAGCTGCCCTCTTTTTCTAAATGGTTGACCCCCCCCTGCTTTGGTGTTAAGGAAATTTGCAACAGGTGCACTAGATGGGCAACAATGAGACAACCCCCAAAACAGGAATGGTTTTACAGGTGGAGGCCACTGACAATTTTTCCCCTACTCATCTTATCTTACTCATCTGTTTTTCACTAGTTTTGCATTTGGCTAGCGACAGTGTCAGTACTGGTAGCATGAGGCGATACCTGGACCCTACAGAGGTTGCACAGGCAGTCCAACTCCACCAGGATGGCATATCAATACGTGCCATTGCTAGAAGGTTTGCTGTGTCTCCCAGCACAGTCACAAGAGCATGGAGGAGATTCCAAGAGACAGGCAGTTACTCTAAGAGAGCTGGACAGGGCTGTAAAAGGTCATTAACCCATCAACAGGACCGGTATCTGCTCCTTTGTGCAAGGAGGAACAGGATGAGCACTGCGAGAGCCCTACAAAATGACCTCCAGCAGGCCACTGGTGTGAATGTCTCTGACCAAACAATCAGAAACAGACTTCATGAGCGTGGTCTGAGGGCCCGATGTCCTCTAGTGGGCCCTGTGCACACTGTACCATAGAGTTTGATTGGCATTTGTCATAGAACACCAGAATTGGCAGGTCTGTCACTGGCGCCCTGTGCTTTTCACAGATGAAAGCAGGTTCACCCTAAGAACAAGTGACAAACATGAAAGGGTCTGGAGAAGCCATGGAGAACTTATGCTGCCTGTAACATTGTTCAGCATGACCGATTTGGTGGTGGGTCAGTGATGGTCTGGGGAGGCATATCCATGGAGGGACAGACAGACCTCTACAGACTAGACAATGGCACCCTGACTGCCATTAGGTATTGGGATAAAATCTTGGGACCCATTGTCAGACCCTATGCTGGTGTAGTGGGTCAAACAATTGGGCATCCTTACGTTCCTAACTCATTACCCAGTCCATATAAGTATATATATCCAGCATGATATTTTTCCCCATTGAGATCTGATATATTTTCAAAGTGTTTATTTAATTTTTTTGAACAGTGAACATTAAGAGCTTTGAATAGAATATTGGCAAAGGCGACATATATTTAGTACATAAAAATATAATTTTTGACCTTTATTTGGAAATGCAAATTAGTACAATTCCAGGTAATGTATGGCTTCCATTTGAGAAATGAGGGATCATGGTTCTCTAATATGTTGAATTTTAACACTAAGACACCCCTGTGATTTATTGAATGTGGATAAGACATTTACTGGAAATATCTTAAATATGCATAATCTAATAGAAGAAAATGTCTTAATCCAGGATGTGATAAAGCCCTACAGTAGTTTTAGAATATATTTTGGTTTCAATTCTGCTCTTTGACCATATTTTTCAATTTGTGGGAATATATAATTTCATAAAGATCTAAATCATTTTTTCAACACACCAAGTAGCACACATATACACAATATACTGCATGCACATTTGCTGTGCATCATCTAAGCTTCCATTGGGGATGCAATTAAAACCTTAGCTTTCTGAGTGCGGGTATGGAGGACTCTCCAAACTTCATCTCTCCTTCCAGTCCAGCGCTCAATACACAACTGCTTTAGAGTTTGTCTCTGGGCAATAAATAATTTTTTTTTCATGTTGATAATTTAATCCAGATCTGTTATGAAGTTTTAATAACTGAAAAAAAAGGAAATAGATTGGTGAAGGAATGTATGCTCAGTTGATTTTTTTAAAGTAATTATTATTATACAGGATTTATATAGCGCCAACAGTTTGCTCAGCACTTTACAATATAACGGGAGACAATACAGCAACAATACAGTTCAATACAAGTGGGTTAGGAGGGCCCTGCTCCTTGGAGCTTACAATCTAAGAGATTAATTAGTAATTAATTAGTGATTAATTAGTAAGGTGATTTTTAAAATTTGGATATTTTAGGGAGACTACACAGAGGTATAAGGATATTTCTCAGGTTAAAAAATCCTTCTATGATTTTAAGGCTAACCGGTCAACTCTGATAACCTCTGATTCCTGCATAGTTCTTTTGTGCACTTTCATAGTGACCCTGTACCCTGATTTTCTGGGTTAATCCATAAAGGTACACAGTAACCAGAACTCACATGATCTCACTATACTTTGTCCTGCTTGTGTCTCTTGCCTCTTTATTGGCCATCACACCTTGTGGCCTATAGAGAAGGGAGGGGAGCAATAAAGAACAGGCCAAGACACATGTGGTTGCTTTTTTATATAGATTTTCAGGATACCCAGTCTCTGCGCAGGTTAACAAAGCACACCTGCAGACATCTAGAGTTACGTACACAGTTATGGAGCTTCATGGAGCCCCCAGGTTAAATTTTAGGTTCCATGTAAAGTTGACCTTTTCATTACTTAAGCACTTAAATGTTGTGAGAGATGTAAATGGGGCTTGACAGCTGAGTGTCTCCATCCACTCCCTGCTATGTACTTGTATAAAGATGGCCATACACTATCAGGGGCGGACTGACCATTTGGAAACTCGGGCACTGCCCGAGGGCCCGGGGTCAGTAGGGGGCCCCATGAGATGCCCCTGGTACCTTTTTCATAGGCTTTTTTGAGTTTGGGCAAGGACACAGGGGCCCCATGATCCCCTATTGCCCGGGGGCCCCATGAGTTGTCAGTCCACCCCTGTACACTATGCAATCTGATTGTACAATCTCTGTACAATTTCCTTTAGGTTTTTCAGAACTATGGAAAAGGAGGACC